ATGATTTGAACGGTTTGTTTCGATTATGTTAGCCCTGTTTTGTGATGGTTCGTCTATTTTTTTATTTTGTTCTAAATTAATCTTTCTTATATGTAATGATTTTTTATTTTTATTTTTTTTGTAGAAAATGGCATCATCCTCACAGCCGCAATGCTACACCGTCCATCCCGGTCCGATGGATCGATCCCTTCTTTACCTTCAGGACAACCACCGGTCGCAAGCTGTATACGACGATCTGGAGGGATATCGTCACGGCGCGATTAAAACCCGCCGTTTCGACAATCAGTTTTGGAAGGCGTTGGCGGTACAGAATTACAAAGTATGGGAGGTGATCGAAAGGACCGGTTTCGGGCCGCTTTTCAGAATGGGCCGAATATCGACGAAGAACAGCTTGATTACATGTCTAGTGGAGAGGTGGCGTCCGGAGACGAACACCTTCCACTTTGACTTCGGGGAGGCTACAATAACGCTGCAGGACATACATGTCCTCTTTGGTCTCCCGGTCGATGGAACGCCGTGTTGGGGACAAACAATTAACCACGAACCCCACACGTGGCAAGAACACTGTGCCGATTATCTAGGGTTCGAGCCCTCAGTCCAGGTAATTATTTTTCTATATTATTATTTTTTTCTTTTAGTTTATTCCATTCATTAATTTTCAATATATATATATATATATATATAACACTCTCAGACTGATGACGACCCAGAGGGCACCCCAGAACTCACAGGCCAGTTTTTGAAGACCTTGGCACTTGAAAAGGAGTGCTATAGACCGCTGAAAAATGAAGAGCTTCCCTATCGCTACGAAGAGAGGGCGAGGGCGCTTATACTGTGGTGTATCGGGTCATTTTTCTTCCCCGATCATAGGGCGAATGGGGTCATGTTGTACTGGATGCAACACTTGCTCGACATCGATGAGATCAAGCAGTACAGCTAGGGTTCAGCTGTCCTGGCCGGGGTCTATAGAGGGCTCACCTTGACCGCCAGAACCGGGAAAATTTTCATCAAGAACTGTGTTCAATTGATTCAGGTAAATAAATGTACTTACTTGTTATTACTTCATTCATTTGTTATTATACTTTATCCTAATATATATTAATCAAATATTTATGTGAATATCTGTAGGTTTGGGCATGGGAACGTATCCCTCGTATTAGCCAAAAAATGAGGGATACCAACTTTGACAGAGTCCAAGGTTGTCCTTTAGGAGCAAGGTAATCACATTTATTTATATTTAATACTTAAAATGTCAAATTACTATAAAATTTTGTGATTAAAGTTTTTGGTTTTTTTTTATTATTTGATTTTTAAGGTGGGTGGGACGGAAGAATATAAAACACATCGGAAAGGGAACAGCCGCTATCTAAGATCAATTAACGTGGTTGACAGAGAATGATGTAAGATTTTTATTAAGTAATATTGATTATTATATATATTTGTTTTTCGTTTTTTATTTTTCTATAACTTAATAAATATTATTATTAATTTTTTACAATTTAATTGGTTGCCATATAAGCGCCACCTGGACGAGGGTACTCTCCCAGCCTCGTGTACAGAAGGTTCACACCTCTGGATGTATAGATGGTGGATCTTCTGTTGGGACATTCGT